CCCCCCCCCCAAAAAAAAAGATCTTTTTAGATATCTTGGAAACAAGATACTGAATCCATCGGGTAGTTACAAGATTACAACACACAGAAGAGGAATGTGAGCATATTGACACATACCGACTGCGATCCTAAACAAGAAGTCAACTCATTTACATTCTTTAAACATCTTGGAATCAGAATAGTAAATCTCTTAGGTGGCAGCCAGATAATGATGAACAGAGAAGCTGAGTCCATGCAATTCTAGACAGGATACCAACATACCAACTAAGGAATACAGGGACAACGGCAGGCTGAACAAGGAAATGCAAGTTAATCAACAACAGTTTCTAGAGTTGGAGTCGTGGAAACCACCAGACAGAGTAACAGTATGGAGTTGAAGAGACGAATTATAATTTTATCATTGACAATATAGCAATATTCTCAAGAACCTAACCAAAAACCATATGGTACCAGGCACCAGAGCTAGGCCTACACAAACTTCCTTCAAAACCACATGGAGGGTAGGCATTTCAGAAACCATATAAAAATTACCATTTACCAACAATCCGTCAACTGCACCATCCAACTACATTATTGTGTACACCATCTTTGGGATTCACAAGAAGTCACCTTATCACATTCATTCATTAACCCCTGAATCAAAATTTTCATCAATTTGATACCAAGATGGAAGAATTCCAAATAGGAACTTTCGTTGGTAATTTCCAGTCATTTTTTTCTCTACAATTCATAGTAAAATCTCAAGTCCAAATGATGGATTTTCTACATCAAAAAAAGCTCTAGGACAGGTAGTAATGTCATTATTTTAGCAATGTCATTTGCATGTAACGGTAGCACTTGAAAAACTAAGATACAACATCAATCCTAGCTAACAAGAGTGCTGCAGTAAACAGAAGATCTAAAGCACACGTATTAACCACTTTTTGAGTGTTAATACCAGAAATGATAACCAACATAAAACAGAGGTTGTGAACATTGAGAACATTGATAGAACTTTTGATCTAAACCAAAGTTTATATTAGGCACCCATTGGACACTTGTCAAAGCTCACCCAGGGAAAAATGGGCGTACATGCTATTTTTAACTTGATACACATCACAGTTAAGAATTTTATCCGTAAGGTTTTCATGGTACTAGTTTCAGTGTATTGAAGCCAACTGTTATTTATTGTCAAAAGTCTGAACTATTACAGACAAACATTGCCATTAACAAACTGAGATGACTCCAAACAAAGAATACACTTTATGCATATAACCATGCAAGAAATATGGTATTCAGTACTCACTAGGTCATCAAACATGCCCAACAAAGCTAATGCTTGGTCTTTCTCTTGGTTTTCCTCAATAGGCATGATATAACGCAAAATGCAATTAAAAATACCTAAAGATTCCATTCATTAAGTGCTCAACTCATCATCTAAGTGCTTAATGTTCCTTGGACCCACTACAAATCAAAGCGCTCCCAACATCAAGATAGACCAATAATTTTCCATAATAAACCATTCATGTAGATATGTCAAAAAACCAGCATATGTAAAATGAAATTCTCAAAGGCACATGATAAATTTTGTCTAAAAGAGTACATCCTATACAATAAGCATAACAAGTGCTATTATTATTTAATAAAATAGGAACATTTAGGCTTCAAAATGCATCAAGACCACTATGGTAACACCAATATGCGAATCAGTGAACCAGAATGCTAGTTTAGATCCCTTCATGACCCAGAAGCATCAATAATACTTGGGTACATGAATTTCTAGAGACGCCACTTAAATACTCAAATATTTTCCCATCATACCATATGGACAGGGTCGCCTCATCCATCAGCTGCTCAGAGAGAAGTCCCACCCTGCTTTTAATGCTGAGATAAAGATAAAATAGCAAGTCCTCCTAAACGTCACAGAGGATGGGTTAAAACACAACAAACAGACAGTGGTAACAATGTAAACAAATGGACATCTCTCAAATCACAGAAGATTAGGATTATAACCACCACAAACATTATGTGAAAGTGGTAAAAAAGGAAGTATTCACATCACAGCCAAAGGTCTGAAGCCTCAAAACCAGTAAACTGATAACCTTAGAACACTTTCACATACCATGAAAACATCGAGGAACTAAATCTTAACTACCAACTTTCAGTTATAACATTGACAGAAGAGGTAGAAAGACAAGCATCACTCCATATTACACAACACAAATACAGTAGATACTTACAAAGCTTGATTTCCTACAGATGAAGATGAATTTTAGGTTAAGGGCGCATGCATTGCTTTTTATCAGTTTGTAAGATACATGCATTGTCAACCTAGTCACACCATAAGCCCCTTGAACACTGGATATCTCAAATAAAGAAAACCATCAATCATATGACAAATAAATGAACCAAAAACCAGCACTAAGACTAAAAACAACAGGCAAGTCAACTTTCTCAGAATAAAATGTAAAGACCATGCATCAACCAATTAGACCAGATATTCTACACTAAGTCACAATTGACATGTAGAGATGAAAAATGCAAGGAGACAAAACACTTGGTTTGACTTATCCCTTTAAAAGGTTCAAAGGTCTGGAACACCAAGCTATTGCTTACTCCTCTCAAAGTTTGAAGCACCAAGTTATTGTTCATTCCTAAGAAGAGTCTTAATGCTTAGATTAAAATCATCAGCAAAATACACAAATGCTGATTTTGTCCCAGTGTTCAAAATCAATTAAAATCTCCGAAAGGGGATTGCTGGATATTGATTAACCGTATCCTTCTACATATTATTATTTTGCAATAGTTTTTTATGCATTTTGGAATTTAGAAACTAACATAGTACAATCATATAAGGTCATTATTTATTAAACCCTATGGAGTACAATTATATATGGTCATTCAATAAACCCTATGGAGTTGGGCATAAGGAATCTACGGTGGTCAAACAACTCCTACTCTCTAATAATTAGCTAAACTAAAACAAGATACTAACATATCAAATGAGAACAACAGCATAATGAGATCAAAATTACAGGACAAGGCATCAACATTTTAATGGAGATATCCTTGGAAAAAAGACGATGTGAGATTTAAGAGGAAGCTATGTCATTTGCCCAACTTACTGCGTCTTTGACCGTATTTGGTATCTTAGCATCTCAGTCTAAGTAGTCCGTTCATCCATGTGGATTTCCCCTATAAAAGGTTGTTATCCTATCAATTCTCTAAAGCTCACTTCTCAGTAATACCATATATCAACCACAGTAGATGATGTTCGTGATGAGTCAGCATCTACAGGTAGCAACCATAAACAGGATCTGCACACTGAGATGCCATCTGCACAAATGGTCCAGTTGAACCAGACACCAAGCTAACAACTGGATATCCCCATGAACTCTCAAAAGCATGTCAGCAACAGAACACTATTGAAGGAACTGTTAATTATAATTACAAGCAAGCAGATGCGAACTTCCAGACACAACTGAAGAGTAACATAAATAATAAACATATGCAAAACTGTAAAACAACATGAACTGCAACACAATGTAACTTTTTTTCTGCTTTACTGATATTCAAGATCAATTTTAGCAACAATGACTTTACTGGAACACAATTTAATCTGAAATACAATCACATTTCAGTTAGCAGTAATACATGTACATCCAAATGAATCAATAGCATCTACTAGATCTAACAGAAAGATTTCAACCATGAATCCATACCTTCCCCGGAATGACAATGAAGCTTAGGGAGAGAAATCAACATGCACAAGTCTATATTTCCATAAAGCATTAAAATAATATGTATTGAGGACCTGCAAAACTACAACACTAATGATATGTGCATAGTAAACTGCATATTGAAACATTAAAGACTACTTTTAATGTCAGAAATACACCTTAACCGTTACTTTATCAGCTATATATGAGCTTCTAAGCTCGTCCCAGACCTACTAGAGACAAGGAGATGGCACTACTCCAATCCAAGTTTCATACAGAATTTTTGGTGCAACAAATTAAAACAGAGAATGAGAAACTTTGTCAACACTACATATTAATTCCTACCATGATTTTCACTCAATGCAATAATAGGTATGAGATGGCACCTCAATAATTAATAATGACGACCGATAAGCTTAGATAGCAAGTAAACAGCTAAGGCCTTCAAACAAACAATTTTTTGAGAAGTTGGGCAGAAAAAAAAATAACAAAGAAATAAATAAACAACATATAGTATAAGCTTCAAAAACAGAACCACTGAAAGAAAACTAGCATCATTACGTTGGTAAGACCATTAAAAATATTTTGAAGCACTTGCCCTTTTAAATCACATAAAATCCGAACATACTGCTCCATAAGAATTAAGAAAATGAAGCAACCTGCTGGGTTATTTTGAAATCAGAAAGAACAAAATGCAGTTCAAATAATACTTGCAATTGTAGAGATGATGGAATGCTTTGACCTTGGAAAAATTAGGAATGCGTTTTAATCAGAAAGAAAATATAAATCCATTTCAATTGTAGAGATGATGGAATGTTTTGACCTTGGAAAAATTAGGAACGTCATATAATTGAAAGAAAATTAAAAGATTAGAACAGTGATAGAGTGACTGGGCAAGATCTCTACCTGAAAATGCACAATTGTTGATTTGACAAGCCTTGTATTGAATTGGAAATCATAAAAGGTGCCCCCCTTCTCTACTTTCGTGTATTCCTGTTGATAGAATTTGTTCAGCAACGAACATTACATATATATATTCCCAACCACTGTGGTCAGAACGACATAAGTAAGAGGAAAGATATAAATGGGGGGGGGGGGGTAAAAAATTGTACTGATAAGGCCGAAATACAGACAAGGTTATACCCATGCCGCAGTAGCTTGAAATAATAAACTTTGTTTATTCAAAAATGAAAAAAAGGGGAAAAACGGGGACTGGAAAGGCTTGGTTTATATGCATGTAATCTATAAGCACCAGCCTTTGGCCACAGAATTTTCGTCTGTGTTTAAAAATATGTGCACAGAAAAACCACGCGATGAGCAGGAAAAATATATATTTTTTCCTTACCAATACTTGAAATCACAGGACACGTCAACAACTACAGTAATAAACGACGACAGTAAAAGCCTACCAATACTTGAAATCACAGGAACATGGTTAAACAATTCATCGACTTCTCAACTAATAACCAATTCGCGGTCTAATGCAAAATCAACCAATAGCTTTTTTTTCTATGAAAAGAAACAAAAAGGCTTGCATCAACACCGGGGCACAAGACTATTTTCAAAGACAACTAATTAATTATTGACGATTGTCTTAAACAGGGGAATAGAAGCTTGCCTTTGCGATCTCTTCGCGAGGGTGGGAGAGGCTCTCGAAATTTTTGTACTGCTTCAATCTCGTCTCTCGGTACTTATCCCTCGTAAAGTTCATCCTCTCCCATGGAATTCCCTGAATATCCTTTCCATTTCGAGCCTCAAGAGCCGAAGTATCGGTCTTTGGCTTATTATTCTGAAACAAGATAAAAAACAGAGCCAAAGCCCAAATCAAATCAATTACTTCGGCTCCAAGGTCGAATAAATTTAGTAAAGAGCCAATTACAATCCTCTAAACACACCATGTCAAAATCGTCTTCAAAATCTGAATCTTCTCCATTTCTATTTTGCTGAGTTTCTTCAAAAGGATCATCCTCGAAATCAGTCAAGTTATAGTAATCATCAACCATGTATTCAAGCTCGTCGTTCTGGTACCGAGCCATTAGCCTATATAATTCAGATAGACTTTAGTGGGCAATAGTAGAATAACCTTTACGTGAACCGTTGAGTCCAAATGAAAGAGAAAATAAGAAAAACAATGAGCGAAAAAATGAGCATTTCTCAAACACACAAGGTAAAGAAAGAAATGAAAAAAAAAAAAACAAAAGAAAAAGGCAAGCCTGTAAACAGAGGATTCAATCAAAAAATCAGAAACAGTATTAATAACAAAACGAATAAATTAGAAGAAAAGATCATATAATCAACATCGGGCGGAACACAACTATTGATTCATCCCGAATCGTAACAGATGAAACCAGACAATCGTACAACATAACCAAAGCAGGAAAACGGGAAAAAAAATTGAACAAAGAATTCCCTAGCACCGCTTTCTCAAAATAAAAAAGCACCGACCAGAAAATAAGCAAGGGCATAACTCGAACAACGAATTAGCACCAAGCACAATTAATTAAAATGATGAAAGCAACGAATGAAAAGAAAAACATGAACAAAGAACTATAACTCACCTCCGAATCTTGAAAGAAGAAGATCGAGAAACAGAATTAAGAAAAAAGGCAGATCTCAAAGGGAAGGATTGAGGAATGTAAGAGTATTAAACAGGTGAGTAACAGACAAAGAACAACAGAGTGAGGAAAGCTAAAGCGACCGGCGATGAAGATCACGAGAACAGCACGCGCTACACAATATGAATTATTTAGAGAAAAGAACGAAGAATACAATTTTTTTTTTCGCTTCAAAAATGAACAAAGAACACAGTAAACAAACGAAGTCTGTAGAGCTCGCCAAAAGAGCAAGAGATGATGATTCCAGATGTCATATTTATAGAGTAATAGGAAATGCCCTGTAGTTCTTGGTGGGGCCCTATTGGATTAGAACCCGACTATCTGTTGGGCTATCTACCTTGAGTTTACCGACTATCGCTGTATTATCGAGAACGGAATCTGCACATTCACTGAATAATAATTTATAAGTACGGAAGATGCTCCTAATATATGGTACGATGTGCGTGTGAGGCGCGAGTGCGGCGCCCTGTGTTAAGAGTAAATCCGATCTCGTATTATCGCCATGCTCTCTCTCTCTTCACAGCAAACCAGTGGTCGCCACTCGCCAGTACTGTTGTCTGTCGTAGTTACTGAAACCACAGAAATTGAAGGAGTGAAGGGCCAAATTAATTAACGAAACCGTATTTACTGGAATACCATTGTATTAGTCTTAGTGGAAATGGTGGGAGCGCCAGGTGGACAATTAGGAAACAACCGCCTACCAGGTAACCGCCTAACCAGTGACTGACAACCACGAAATGGTCCGTACTGCCAGCTGGCTGGACGTAACCTCTTCGGCAGGATATGTATAGGGGCAGCCGGCAGATCCCATTAGCGAGCCGCTTGTCGAACTGCATGTCATTGGTTACAAGGCGGAAGTCCACGTGGTTGGCTTTTAGGGCGCGTATAACAAATTCCAGTCTGCCCCGCCTCACAGGCACATCCACCGTGCATTGGGAACATCTCTGTGAATAATAATAAATAAGTATAAAAGATGTTTCAATCCATGATAGGATGTGCGTGTAAGACGCCTGTGAGGCGCCAGGTGTAAGGAATTGATCCGATCTCGTTTCTTGGAGAAGTCCACGTGGTCTCCAACGCCCTCTGGGCTCTAGACATCTGGTCAATCTTTTCTCTCACACTGTTCCCGAGACAGATCGATGGCATTTGCATTTGTTGAACGAGACCGGATCTGCTCCTCACATCTGATGCCTCACACACACATCCTACCATGTATTGAAAATATTTCTCGTAAAATTATCAATTATTATTTACGGGAGATGTTTTTAATGCATGGTAGATATACATGTAAGGCGCCCATTTGTGAGTAGCAGATCCCGTCTCTTATTGAACTGGGATTAGTTGGAATTGGTAACATTGAACCACCATCCGCATCCACTTTCTTTAGGTCGGTCGAGCGGGAACCCGTCCCCAGTCCCCACCGGCCACCACACCCACAAGCCTCCTTCGGTTTGGGTTTTGGCCCCTTGAAGGTTGTCGAATTTTAAGTTTATTGGTGCAATGGCGTTTCAATGGTGTTAAAAAAATGTTAGAAGAATATTTTTCTACAGTTTCTTTTTCAATATGCATGTTGTATAAAACACGTTTTTCAAATAAATGATAATGAAATTAAACACTCCTATTACCTTTATTATTTAATGAATTGATAAACTGTATTCTTATCGTTTAACTATTCATTTATCCTATTTTTGTTTTTATTGTTTCTGACAATTTACTAATTATATGCGCTTATCGTTAATATCGGTTAATATTTGTTAAATTTTATACATACGTAATACTACATGATGTATAAAAGTTTTTTTAAAACCTAATATTATCCTTCGTCTGTCTCACATAAAAATCACTCCTGATGAATGTATCATCTTCTTCCTCTTCTAACCCTAATTGCATTGTTCGATCCCAAAGGCCTATTCAGACACATAAAGAAGTTGCAAACTTTTACACCCTACAAAGAACCCTAACATTGGTGGCGTTAGCTGGAAAACATCAAAGTTTTCGTCATAGCGATTAATTAGATCCAGAAAGAAGTGACGAGTTTTTCTCCGGTGGCATTAGCATCAGTGGAGGGGGGAGAGAGAGAGAATGGTTTTTTGGGGTTGCTCGCGAGTGTCACAAACCCGAGAGATTCCTACCTGCATCCTATTTTCTCTTTCTTTATTCTTGTGTTCTGCTGAGATTACTTCAGAGCCGAATCGATCTGTGCCAAATGATTAGTTTATGTTGGAATTGCACAGCGAATATAATGTAATTTGTACATGCACAGAAACAGAACAAAAGCAGATAGCAATAAAGAAAAAAAGAAGAGAGAACACCAGATTTACGTGGTTCGGCCAAAATTGCCTACATCCACGGGCAGCAACTCGAAGCTTCCTTCTTACTATAAGCAGGAGAAAATATAAAATGACTTCACTGGAATCACACATGTACCCAACTCAATACTCCTCTCAACACACTGTATACATTATACATTGAAATGAAATAGAGAATGAAATTAGAAATAACATAGGAGGGACCCCTATTTATACTTGAGCTGAGGGGTATAATGGGCATTTATGAAAATTTTCTTCATGGTTAAGCAAACCATAACCGGTGGTTTGCAAATGGTGTGCCATCGAATAAATGGTGGGCTCAGCTTGGTGGGCCACCAATTGCAAATTCGGTGAGCCACCAACTATCCCACCATTTTACTTTTCAACATTCTCCCACTTGAAGACAATTTTCATAGTGAAAAACCCTCTCGAGAATAGTTGTCGATCATCTATTGCTATGTGGCTTCAAGTCCCAGAGAAACATCGCAGAAGGAAGCTCTGAGTTGCTGCCTGTGGACGTAAGCAATTTTGGCCGAACCACGTAAATCTAGTGTTCTCTCTTCTTTCTTTTTTTTATTGTTATCTTCTTTTGTTCTGTTTCTGTGCACGTACAGATTATATTATTTCTATTGTGCAGTTCCAACAATTGGTATCAAAGTTGAGCCGATTTTGCTCTGCTTTGGGTTGCCGACAATCTTTTCGAAGGTGCCCCGTCTTACCTCTTTGCAAGTACACTTGAATGAGTTCAACGCTCTAGTAAGTAAATTAGCAACTGTAGAGGTACGTATTGATGACGAAGAAAATGTTGCTCTTTTGTTTTGCTCTATGCCAGACTCTTGGGATAGTTTGATAATGAATTTGAGCAATACTAAAGATCTATCATTAGAATCTACTACTTCTATGTTGCTTACGAAAGAATCTCGTAAAAAAGTTAGTGAGAATTCTTCAGGTGACGCAATGATGGTACGAGGTAGATCAAATGAGAGAAATGGCTCTACTAGAAATCAAACGAGATCCAAGTCAAGAGGCAACAAGAAAGGACTCAAGTGTTGGAATTGCAATAAGAAGGGACTCCCTTTGAAAAGATTGTCAGCAACCCAAAGCAGAGCAAAATCGGCCCAACTCTGATACCAATTGTTGGAATTGCACAGCGAAAATAATGTAATCTGTACGTGCACAGAAACAGAACAAAAACAAATAGCAATAAAGAAAGAAATAAGAGAGAACACCAGATTTACGTGGTTCGGCCAAAATTACCTACGTCCACGGGCAACAACTTAAAGCTTCCTTCTTACTATAAACAGGAGAAAATACAAAATGGCCTCACCAGAATCACACATGTACCCGACACTCAATACTCCTCTCAACACACTGTATATACTAACACTGAAATGAAATGTAGAATGGAAGCTCTAAATAGGGACCCCTATTTATACTTGAGTTGACGGGTATAATGGGCATTTATGAAAATTTTCTTCATGGTTAAGCAAACCATAACCGGTGGTTTGCAAATAGTATACCACCGAATAAATGATGGACTCAGCTCAATGGGCCACCGATTGCAAATTAGGTGAGCCACCAACTGGCCCACCTTTTTGCTTTTCAACAGTTTAGAAAATAATCCAATGAAGAAAGAGTGCTAATGAAACACCGAAGCTCTTTCTAGCATATCCGCTGAGGAACTCTTTCTCTGGTTCCTAGTGAAGGGTATTCGGTTGGCATGCCCCGCTCTATCTCTTTTTGTTTTCTCTTTTTTTTGGGTAGTATAGTTGATTTTTGGTGGAGGCAAAACTGTTTAATGGGATTGATTCCATTCTATTTATGGAGAAACATAAGAACACATTATTACATCATTTTTTATTTTTATTCTTAGCTGTCGTTTCTATCAAAAAAAAAATCCAGTTTTGTTTCTTGATTTATGCTCATCTGCTTGATTTGATTTTTGCTTTTAGTATTGGCTGCTATTAATTTTCTTTTAAATCCCTTCTAATCAATTGTAGAGTCAATCTGGAAAGTTTCACAATGAACTTGATGGGGAGATTTTCAGAGGGCTGTTCTATAGACGGAAATGAGGATGATTATTCAAATTTTATGTAGACGGAAAGCTTCGCTATGAACTTGTGGGCTTCCTTTCCCTTGAAAGACGATCTCAGAGTCTGGTTTGGCAGGTCTTATGCGTTCATGGTGTGTGCTTGCTTGCAATATAGTTGGGCCTGCTGTTTCTATTTGCACGAGGAGGAGAAAAGAATTTTTGACGGAGAGGAGAGAAGTAATGAAATGAGAGGAGTCGAGAGGATTGTGGGTGAAGGGAATCAAGGTTTTGGGTTGAGGTGATTTTGGATGATAAATCTGCTAGAATGCTATTTTACTCTTTGTGATCCTATTATTGTATATATGGGTCCGGATGAGCTGAAGACAAGAATTTACAACGCGCGCTGGTCATCCAACCTCGTTGTAACACGTAAGCACCCCACTTTAATGTTTAAAGTTATCGGAAGAGAAGCTCCTACCTCTGTTACTTTTAATATTTATTTTTAATTAATTAAAAATAAATAAATAAATAACCCCACTTCCTCTTCTTCCCTATGCCCCGTTATTTTTCTAAAGTGACAAAATCCTTTTTAAACTTAATGTGAAAAATTAGGAGTTGAAGCTGGTGCCGACGACCAACGATAAATTTCCAACAACGGACATCCGACATCGAACATAAAGCAACACTGACGACTGAATTCAACCCGGTTCCAACACCAAACTCTCTCATTTTTTTTGGCCACAAATCTTTCTGAGGGGAGCTTAAAAACGAAGAGTTGAAGCTGGCACCGGCGGTTGATTATTGATTTCCGACAACCAACGACCGATATCCAACATCGAACGAAAAGCAGCACAAACGTCTGAATCCAACCTGGTTTGTCAACATGCACACCAAGCCCTCTCATTTTGTCACAAATCTTTCTGAAGCTAAGTTATTCACAATGATTATAGTACAGGGTTTTTGCAAAAGCTTAGGCTAGAAACAATAAATCTAACTATTGTCTTAGAAAATAAAATCTGGTTGAGTGAGCAAACCATTACAGAGAGACCTAAAAACTAATTCTGATTCCAAGAGTAAGCCATTACACAAAGAACAATCTAACTATTGTCCTAGAGAGGTCCAACCTAAATTTAAAACCTTGCTCAAAAAATTAGAAACAGAGTCATATCAAGTTATTGACCCCTAATTCCCTTTTCACTCTCTCCTTGTCTTCTCTTTTTTCTTTCTTTTTTTTTTTTTTTGTTATTGTTCACACTTCATAGCCGTAATAAAAATTTGCAATATTTGATTTTATATGATGGGTTTTCTACTATTGTATAGCCACATGAATGTTCTTGTTGATGCAAGAAATGAATAAAAGTTTAGGACTGATTTTCTGTAAAAGCTATAAGGAATCTTGGTATTTTATGTTTTATTGTAAAGATCATATTTTTCCTATCATGGACATAGAGAAAAGGTTGATCGATAATATTCTATTTTTTTTTTGTATTTTTTACTCATAGGTAGGGTAAAGTTTGAAACCAACAAATAAACCCTCTTTGATTTTTGATTGTTGATTAAAAGAATATATACATATATGATACATGAAAATATTTTATTTAATATATAAAATTGTTATGCTTTACAAAAAACAAATAAAATTTTCAAATTTTCTTTGTATTGGTATTCTGTTTATTGATATATCATTATTATATATTTCTCATATCTATAAATATTTAATAAATTATGCACATGTTCTTTTTTGATATTTTAATCTAGGCTAGAAAACAGAAATGTACTTTGGCAAATTGGCTTTATATAAAAGTACAAAAACAAAAACAAATCACCTCACTTTTGATATAGTTATAGGCCATTGAATTTCTAAAACCTTTTCAAAAATAGATATGTAGAAGTTGAATACAAAGAGGGCTTAATTGATATAAGTTGAGTTCCAGAAAAAATTACATCATTTTAGAATCTGAAAATGCAGACTTTTCTTCTTAAAATCTAAAATGATCTTTGTTTAAATTTATCCTTATATTCAATAGAAAATGCACAACAGGATCATTTCATTGCAGGTTGCATCTTAACATTCCATTTGATGTATATAAGTTAATCATATCTAAGCTAGATCAGTCACCTAATGGTATTTTTTTTTATGATTAATTACCACCTGAGCATTTATCAGGATTTTCTCCATTTTAATTTCAAAAATTCCCTAAAAGGACCTTCTTTTGGCATGTAGTCCGGGTGATGGTGCCAACTTGAAATCTCAATTTTTAATTATTGCATGTAGTTGATTCACTAAATTTAGTGAAATATATATAAATTTTGAATTTTATATTGTATTTGTTATTACAATAGGAATGAGTTTCAATCCATATATTATATACTTGTCAAGATGATTTATATCATCATTGGTTGTCCTAACTTGCATTTTTGTGTATGTAGGAAAAACAAAATCAATGCAAATATTTTGAATGGATTGTTTCAAACAATGATTCAGATGAAGCTACTTCGTTGCAAACTATGAAAAAAATCCAAGAAAATTGTGTTAGAGAGCTCGATAAACTAGTAGCTGATTTGGATAAGCATGTTAAATAATAGTTGTGTTTGAAGTTTTGTGATCAATTATTTGTTGAAGGGTTGAAACCATGTTCATATTAAAAATTATAGATGTAATTGGTTTTTTGCTATTGGTGTGTTATTTAGATTTATGTTGGATATGTTTTTGCTATTGTTTGGACCTCCTAATTCTCGTTCTCATTTACTATAAAAAAATAGTACTAAGGATGCCCCTCAAAATGGCAAGTTACAATAAAAGTTCAACAACTCAACCTATTGTCAATGTAGGAATATTATTATGTTCCTTTCCAAAACAACTAAACCCCCAACTCTTTAGTATTCATTGATTCATTCCTATTATTATTAGGGAGACATAGGTATGAGTAATATTTGAAGGGATGAAATATCCATTGTAGGGACACCGAATCTTGCAGAATAGAATGGGCGAATTTCAAAAATTTTTCTCCATCCTACTGGGAATCGAAGATCGAACTGGCAAATATGGAGGTGGCAGGAAAGAGGCGGCAAGAGAGATTTAGCATAGTGATGTTGAATTCTCTCTTCTGTGATTTCAGCTCTGAAGAGGATGTGAATATGAATGTCTTCTAAAGGCTGCCGCCCCTCCTCCTTTTATAAGCTTATAGGGATCAGCTCCTAATCCCATTAGAAGTTGCTGATCCAAATCATATTTGGATCAAAATTCCCTTTAAGTGATAAGGGTAAACCCTAATCCCATTAGAAGTTGCTGCCCAGTTGGGCTTCCTTGTATGGCGTGGGACCCAAACATTGATCTACACATCAGCCACATGGGTTCAGCCCAGCCTTTGTTACAAGGCCTGGCCGAATACACTGTTATGGACAGTGCACCCCCTGAAACCCATCGCATGGGCTCTATGGGCCCAATACTTACCCTAAGTGATCCCTGGG